TGCAGGATAAAACTGTCTCACCAGCGGGAAACGGCTTCTGACATAGTAAGACAATGAAACGAGAGAAAATGACTGACCATCAAAACTTAACAATGTTTTCCTCAAATTTATTTTTCGAGCCAACAATTCCTGGGGGGGTACCCCAGAGAAATTTTTGAAGGAAAATAAAAGTACACAGAACGATTTTTAATCATCACCAGAAGATTCAGTTTTGTTTTCTGCATCTAATGGCATATAAGGTTTCAGGAACCCGAGATTATGCAAAGCTAAAATGCTATATTACTCTGTGAAAATCATCTAAAAATTCTCCGAAATAGCGATATTTGCGAATCTTTTGGGCTAAATTTGGGCACTATGCACATGTTTTTTGGATTCTTTTTTAGGTGTATCTTGTGCAGTTTCTTCTGCTCTATCGAACCCATAAGTAATTATTCTCGGCCTGAACTTTTTTCTTACCGATTTATCATAAAAATACTAAAAAAGACCCCAAAATTTTCACTGTTTTTTAGGGGGGTTTTTGATAGTTTTTGCTTTATAGGCAGAGTTAGAATTTTTTTCAAAATATTCTAAATATGCTGTTTTGTAGAGCTCGATTTACTCTATCGTTTGACATATTACTTGATTTAATTGAATAATTTTTGAGAGAGAAAATAATCAAATACTAAACTCGTAAAAAACTAAAAACTAAAAAATTCTCAATTCGACCTATCGAAGAAGATGGCTTTTAAATACATACAAAGCTAGCTTCAAAAAAGCTGAAACTTTGAATTTATATGTTTTTTTACATGCTCTTTCATTTGCAATGCTAAAAAAAGGGGGTCAAAAAATTTTGTATGACGGCAATGCTCGGTTGAGCCGTGGACTGTCTCTTAAAATATCAATTATTCCATCTATAACAATGTCCTCCTCCATTAAATTAAATTTTAGAACGCCCTACCATTCCTTTAATTTCCTTCTCACAACATCAGACACATTCAAAAAGCCAAAGCATCCACCGCAATACTTTCCGTTGATCAAACAAAGCACATACTAATGTTTTATTTTACGAATTTCTCTTATAAAATCAATCCAAAACCGTCACAGACGCATTTCGTTCTACTCAAAACACCTCTGTCCGCAGCCAATTAATAGATCACCTTACACACCTGAATGAAAAACGTACGTTAAACGAATATTTGACACAAAATACACCGCAAAAAGGCTCACCGTATTCACTTGAAGAGCATCCGCCAAGTATTGGGCTCCTTCTCCACCTACATTACAAAAGCCAATGTTCAGTGTTGTAAGTGTCTAAATAGGAAAGTATTACGAATGAATGAGAAAGTGAACGTGTACATGTTGATTACTGTATTGACTAGAAGAGCATCAGCGAAGTGTTGTGCTCCTTCGTCACCGATATAATTGCCCACAAGATCCAGTGCGGTCAGTGTCTAAATAGGAAAGTATTACGAATGAATGAGTAAGCAGAAGTGTGAATGTTGATTACTGTATTGACTAGAAGAGCATCAGCCAAGTGTTGAGCTCCTTCTTTAGGGATATTATTGCCCAAAAGATTCAGTGCGGTCAGTGTCTAAATAGTAAAGTATTACGAATGAATGAGTAAGCAGAAGTGTGCATGTTGATTACTGTGTTGACTCGAAGAGCATGGGCCAAGTGGTGAGCTCCTTCTTTACCGATATTATTGCCCAAAAGATTCAGTGCGGTCAGTGTCTAAATAGTAAAGTATTACGAATGAATGAGACAGCAGAAGTGTGCATGTTGATTACTCTATTGACTCGAAGAGCATCAGCCAAGTGCTGTGCTCCTTCTGCACCTACATTATTGCGCTCAAGGTTCAGTGTTGTAAGTGTCTAAACAGGAGAGTGTTACGAATGAATGAGTAAGCAGAAGTGTGCATGTTGATTACTCTATTGACTCGAAGAGCATCAGCCAAGTGTTGTGCTCCTTCTGCACCTACATTATTACTCTCAAGGTTCAGTGTTGTAAGTGTCTATAAAGGAGAGTATTATGAATGAACGAGGAAGTGGAAGTGTGCATGTTGATTACTGTATTGACTCGAAGAGCATCAGCCAAGTGTTGTGCTCCTTCTTTACCGATGTTACTGTAATGAAGATTCAGTGTAGTAAGTGTCTAAATAGGAGAGTATTATGCGTGAATGAGAAAGTGAACGTGTGTATGTTGATTACTGTGTTGACTCGAAGAGCATCAGCGAAGTGTTGTGATCCTTTGTGTGGAATACCATTGTAACCAACATCCAGTGTGTTAAGTGTCTAAATAGGAGAACATTATGAATGAATGAGAAAAAGAATGTGTGCATGTTGATTACTGTGTTGACTCGAAGAGGATCAGTCTAGTACTGTGCTGTTTCGTCTGAGATTTAGTTGCCTCGCACACAGTGCGATTAGTATATACGAAAATTTGATATCGAAGGAAAGTGAGGTGTTAATAGAAAGGGCCCGGTTAAGGTATAATGTGTGGATGAATGGGAGCCTTCGTGCTGACGGATTGGCTGTATTGGACTATTCTGTTTATGAAACTAGTATAGATATACGGATAGAGGAGTAATATTAACGATTGCAGTTGGGAGCAGTGTATTACGATTGATAGGATAGGTTTTGTTCTGATTATTAGTGTAAGTTTTTATAAATGTTGATATTTCCGGAGACGCCTAGCAGCAGATAGTACAAATGCTTGACAAGGTTGAATGCACGTGCGAATCGATCTGAAAGCGATGTAGCGGTTATTTGTGAGAATTCTATTGGTTGTTGATTAGTTGCTGTACGTGAATGATTTTTTGCATCATGATACATGTATACCAGAAGGGATAAAAATATATCATTTCGGTCGTTCGATGATTAAGAAGATAGTCAACTGATTACCTTAAATTTATTAGCAATAGAATATCTTAAGCTTCTTAGAGGGTTGCGCCTTTGTTTTTACTCCTGAGAGAAGTTTTACAGCGAATACCAGTGCACATGGAAACCTGCCTACTTATTTGTTTGTTTGCGAAAAATAGATTTTTTAGAGAACTGTGCATTGAAAAGTAAGATTCTTATAAAAGAAATTGGTTCATGTTGTGAATAGAGGTCTGAAAAGTAAGACTGGAGTAAGAGATATGATTATTTAGTACACGGGAGGTCCGTTTGTTTTTTTATTCATTTCAGATGAATGTAATTTAGCAGAAGTGTGGATATTTGATGAAAACCTCTGTTTTAGCGTGAAAAATATACCATCAGGATGGTTGATTAGTGCTTGAATTGGATGGTAGGGAATCGCATTTTGTGAGAAAATCGTTGCGATCAATATGAATTGAACTTGTAAAAAACCAACATCACTGAATATTTCATTTGATAGTAGAAAGAAGAATTCCGACAGTGCCTCATCAGAATATAGTACTATTGAGATATAGGTCCTGTACTCTTACTTTCTAAAAAAAACCCTTTGCAACACTTTATTTTCACACATATGTACCATTATATGCTCCTGATTACTATATAAGCTCATGATGAAAATTCTGATATAGTTTATCTGTGAACTTAATATGTGACTCAATTTTTCAGTCGGGGATGACTGAACGGTCATAAGCGTCTATCTAACTGTCAGATATCAGAAGGTTCGATTTCTTTTCTCGGCTCAGTCGCGCCGATGTGAAGGTGCAGGATAATAGAAGAACGAACAAAATGAGAAAAAACATATATTCATGTGGAGTTCGTCATCGTTGCCTCTTTAATGTATTTTCGTTCTGTGTGTTGCTGTTCTCTCTCTGTTTGTTATCATTATCTTGTATGACGTGTCTTTTGTAAGCTCCTGATAAAACTCATGTAAAAAAATAACAAAAAACAGACAGAAGGCATGAAATAAACGCTGGCCCAATCCGAGAAAAACTCAATTTTTACAACAATTTATAAATAAAGGTGAACTTTTCATAGAATAGAATTTTTGGGTATTTTTGTATAAAACAACTCCTGTCATCGGCTTTTCTTGTTATCAGACATGTATCTAATACTCGATACTGTGACTGACTGATTTTGTTGTTGTTTTTTATGGGATAAAGATCTGATTTATTTACTACGAAAGCATTGATTTACCTGATATCGATAATAGGTATCAAGAATTTGATTGAGTCGATGACAGACATTTTGCATTGAACAAAACAGATCAAAATTTGATAGCTGGTCGAGAATTCGATAGACCATTTCGACGGGTAATGTGGCTAAGCTGAACATAGTTTTTATACTGATATGATGTGTACTGGTTACTTGTTTTGACCGAATGTATGTTGCTTCCTTTCTTTCTTTTTTTTCTTTTATTACTTTTTTTTACAGTTGTGTAATAACTTCTCTCTCACCTGACTAATCGCAGAAACAAAAAAGATAAGATGATACCACCAGTAACAAAAATATGATTTTCATACGAAAAAGATGGCGTTCACATACAATTTGTGACTTAGAAATTTGAATGCTAATTTTTCTTACATTATCAAATGTTCAGAAAAGTGAAAAAACTTCGATTGTTTTATGACATATCTGTCAAAAGAAATAATTTATTGAGCTTAAACTATGTGAATAGAATAAAAACTAAACTCTGTTCATACAAAAAAATATAATCACATATGAATAATTCTTTTGCCTAAGAGCATACCCAATGAGAGAACTGTAGGCACTATGCTTTCTCTGTTATGGAAACTTTCATCATTTTCTCAATGAAAATGAAAAGGTATACTTCTGCTATACCTAATATCTCTTTTCATAGTTGAAAAAGGCTTTTCGAAAAGTTTGGGCAAAATCACAATGAATACGCTACTAATTAGAGATCTTTAAAAGTTTTTCCTAATTATACGTGACGTAGTTTTCACCCTCGAGGTTACTATCGTGGGATCTCTAAGTTTCCACTTTGCAGCTTTTTGTTACGTTTTATTTAACCATTGATTGATTCGAGTCGTTTGTTTCATGTAGTTTCCAGTCGATGGACAACTTATAATATGGTCACGAAAAATCTCATATAATACTCTAGAAAAAGAACACAGATGTGGATGCATATGGCTCCAGCACATCGTTTGTGCTATAGATATGGTTTTTGCATTTACTGTAAGTATCGTCTGCTACACATCGAATTCTCTCCAGAATAAATAAGTTATATTTCGTTTGCACGTTATTTTTTGACTATGAAGTAGTAAACTTTCACTATTTCTTGATCAAAATTAAATCTATGTCATGAATTGTTTTTAATGATTTTTTTATCTTCTAAGTTTCCATCTACATCATTCTATATAGACAAGAGTATTTGGAAACAAATAGTATGTGACTATCTGATCGTAAAACGTGAGTTAAAACCATTATTTTGTAAATTCTTGTTGGGTGGGTGTATATGTGGACCCCCCGACACACGAATTTCATGTTTCAATTATTTAAAAGAAAAACTATCCTTTTATTTTTATTCCCTCGACTGAAAGGAGGGTCATACAAAAAAAATAGTTTGTCTGATTTTTGACGAAATCGTAAAACATCTGAAAATCATCATGGGATGAATCTAGGTCGAGTCGGGTGGGGGGGAAGGGGGCATGAGTCATAGGTAAAAAAAACATTTTTTTTCGGAAATGCTTAGAATTCAATGAAACATCGTTTGGAGGTGGTTTAAAAGTTGATCGGACAACGTTTCAGTAAGATGCTAGAAAAGAGCCTTAGGTCCGAGAGAGAATTTTACCAAATCAATTAATTGACTAATCTAATACGATATTGTGAGCATGTATGAGACCCAATTAAAGATTTTCTCTTCTGGAGAGTGGGTCCTATGACAACAAGTAGTGTGTATGAGGGTATACTTCTGTTAAAGTCAAAGGTTAACATTGACGGAGTCTACATGAATAAGTTTCAAGGATCGATGAAACTAATCGATAACTATGGTGGATTATAAAAATGAGGAATGATGTATCACGCAGCGTAAAGCTGCCAAATTAAATATTCGGGATGCATGAATCAGCGAATCAGTCATTGGAAATCTTAGATGATTTAGTGTAGTTGTATGAGTCTATAGATGACGACTAGTACAAGCTCGCTATCATGGCGTCTAGTAAATGAAAGGCAGTTTCCAGCTGAAAGCTTCGTTCATATGTGATTGTGTCGAAGTAGTTTAATTGTTTGTGAAGCGTTGGAGAGAAAGACCCATACTCTTTATGTAGACTATATATGCAATGCGGTGTATCGAGCAGTCGGGAGTGGCGGACCGAAGGAACGCCGACGACCGACTGCAAGACAAATGGTTTGATATATCTCTTGGAAATTCCTTATGAAGAGAGTGAAGTGAAAGGAAAAACAATTGAGGAGTAAGGGAATGTGCCTTGACAAGCGTTATTCAATAGTATTTATCGTAGCTGCTACTTTTGGTTTTTATGATGCATTAAAAGCAAGTTTACTCAGTTCAAATCCTAATATTGTTCTGTTATTTTTACTTCGTGATTGTGTTACTGTTACATCTGGTCTTATTTCATAACCAGCCGATACTATTCGACGACATATGCTTATGACATCAGGTCAACCTTTTAAATATAAAGGATCAATCGATTGCATAACTCATGCTATTCGTAACGAAGGTGTTACTTCATCATTATTAAAAGGAACTGGTGCCAATATTGGAAGAGGTATTGAGGGTGCTGGTGTTTTAGTTGGCTTTGATAAGCTAGTACAACTTTATACCGGTACCAAATTTGATACTAATACTAGTGGCAGTGGCTAAGACTTTTGTCCATTTATATCCTTATTCCCTCGACTGTAAAGAGGGTCATCGGATAATAAAACTGTTCAGTCAGACACCTTAACTAATAAAATTGGATACTAAGTTTGAAGATAGAAAGAGTGCGGAGCAGCGAGTCGCGAGTGGCGCCTCATAGGGGCGCTGACGAGCGACGAGCTGCTCCCGGTGACCTCTTCTAATATACAAACGAAAAGTATCAAGCAAATCTGTATTTGAGGTTTATTAGCAATCGTATTTTATTCAACGGCATTTATCGTTCTGTTCAGATTAGGCAGACATGCTTCAGGATAGCAAGATCATAATAACCACTCTTAGAAATTTACAGTTTTATTTGGATAGTAGTTATCATTTAGAAACGTCTGGTAAAGAAGAAGAACGGCAGTAGTGTTCAACTTTGTTTTCAAAACTATAAGATGAACGAGAACCTACCTCGAAAAATAATCTCCTTGTAGGTTTCTGTCTTTTTGTATGGGAAAGTTCCGTGAAAATTAGTAGTTTGAGGTATAATTCAGTCGAGGGTTAAGCGAGTCTGCCTCGACGAGCGTTATTTATTGTATATTGAGCTGCCAATTCAGCCAAGAGTCAAATGAGTTCATCTCGACGAGCGTTATATGTTTCAAATCAATAAAACAAAAGTGTAATAAGGAATTTAAAAAAAAATTTCTAATGGAAATATCAAACTATTGAACACGTTCCACAAATATTTTTTCTATTTCCTCCAATTTTCTAACTACCAGAATTTCATTTCTATCAATACAGCTAAATTCTTTTTTTTTCAAAGAATTTTAAATCCAAGAAAAAGCTTTAAATTGAACATATTTTCAAATTTTGTTATTTTTTGATTGAATCTGATCAATAATGTTTTCTTTTATATAAAATCAAATGGATTTCAAAAATAATTTTACTCACAACATCAAGCAAAGAAGCAAGTTTTTATTTTATTTTCAAAAACTTTTTAAATCTATTTATTAACGAAATTCTGTTTTGTTTCCACTTAAACCAAAAACAACGCAATTGCTTCTATTTTTAACAATCAATAAAATTCAGCACTATTCACAAAATCACTACTATTATATCCACCAGTAACTAATACTTTTTCATTGGATAGAACAGATGCTGCATGACGATATCTTGCGCTATTCATCGACCTAGTGCTTGTCCAATTCCCTGTCGATGGATCATATATCTCAGCACTCTTGATAGAATCAACATTAGATCCACCAGCAACCAATACTTTTCCATTCGATAAGACGGACGCTGTGTGTTGATATCGTGCACTATTCATCGATCCAGTGTTTATCCAATTCTCTGTTGATGGATCATATAATTCAGCAGTGTTGATAGAACCATCACCAACTCCACCAGCAATCAGTACAGTTCCATTGAATAAGACAGACGCTGTATGTTGATATCGTGCGACATTCAAAGACCCAGTTCTTGTCCAATTCCCTATTATTGGATCATACAATTCAGCAGTGTTGATAGGACCAGTATAAGATCCACCAGTAACCAATACTTGTCCGTTTGATAAAACAGATAATGCATGATAATATCGTCTAACATTCATCGATCCTGTATTTGCCCATTTACCTGTTGATGGATCGTATAACTCGGCACTGCTGGAACCGTCACCCCCTCCACCAGTAACTAATACTGTTCCATTGGATAAGACAGATGCTGTATGTTGATATCGTGGAACATTCATAGATCCAGTTGTAGTCCAACTACCACTTGATGGATCATATAATTCAGTGCTGTTCAGACTACTACCACCAGCAACTAATACTTTTCCATTAAATAAGACAGACGCTGTATGTTGATATCGTGCACTATTCATCGATCCAGTGCTTGTCCAATTACCTGTTCATGGATCATATAATTCAGTGGTGTTGAGATAACTACCACCAGCANCCTACTTAAGGATCTGGCGACCAAACTCATTCGACTCAATGATCGCGATTCTATCCAGGGACGTGGTAACCAGATTCATGTAACACAGTGACTCGATTACTACTTAAGCAGCTGGTGACCAGATTCATGTCATTCAGTGATCGCAGTTCTATTTCGTAGGTTATCATTTGCCCAGAATTGTGGTGCCCAGAATCGGTCCCAGGAAAAGTCCCGAAATATTTTGGAACTTTTTTCTGGGACCGATTCTGGGCAAATGATAACCTACCAAACAGATCTGCGATCACGGAATCACATGAATCTGGTCACCAGGTAGAAGAATAAGTTTTAGCCTATATGATAGGGTATAAGTGGTTTCCGTAAAAATCCCTAAATTGTGAAATCCACGATTTAAAATCCCTAAATATTCACGGCTAGATGGAATCATGGATATTTATCCACAATTGTGGATTTTACTTGTGGATGTATTCTGGGAACCAGATTTGTGGAAAATGATAAACATTCAAAAAAGCGCCACCTCCACAACTTCGACATCACACGTTATCGAAGTATTAACTTAGACAAAAAGCTAACTTCGATACGACATATATTTCTTGTTCGAAATAACTTCCTCATTGCTCTAACTAAAGAATAGCAAGTGTTGAACTATCTCGAGATAATTCTTAAAAAAGAATAATACGAACTAATTTCTCCCAATTCATTTAAACAGCGCACGTTCGTCGTATATTTATTACGTGATGATGAAAATTCGAATGTGTCTTGCCAATCGACGATCAAATCGAGAAGAACTGCTTGTTGTTCTTACGTCTAAGAATCAACTGGGAACAATTATTCACATAATAGCATAGAACAATCTGTCGAAATGTTTTCGATGAACATTCAGCAGCTCTCAATTGTGTTTTTATACACACGGATTAAACAGTTTTCTCCAGCTTACTCAATGCGGCAGAACACTTTTCAAAAAAGATCTAAATCATTGCATTTGAATGTTATCGAAATAGACTACGTGGACAATGTTCTCACTAACTTTGTATGCAGCACACATGCTTATATTCCCAAGCTTTTCTTTTCTGATAAATAAAATAATCGAGATGGCCGCTATTCTCATTGATAAATAAAAAACAAAACGATGCATCGACAATTACTTGTTTCAGTTGTAAGTATAATATTCCTTGGAATTAGTAGCAGTTGGGCAGCAAATTGGGCTGTTCTTGTTGCTGGCTCTTATGAATGGACGAACTACCGTCATCAAGCGGATGTTTGCCACGCTTATCAAATTCTACATAAAAATGGTATTCCTGATTCGAATATTATTGTTATGATGTACGATGACTTAGCTCATCATTGGAGGTATCGATTTCATACGATTATCGAAAGGAATTCATCATGAATATTCATAGAAATCCAACAAAAGGTGTTATCATCAATCATCCCAAAGGAAACGATGTTTATCATGGCGTTCCTCATGACTATACGGGCAAGGATGTTACGCCACAAAATTTCATGAATGTTTTATTAGGAAACAAGGAAGTACTACGAGGTGTTGGTAGTGGTAAAGTTCTTGAAAGGTAAATATGCTCCTAAACATACAGATTGTCTGTGATTTCTGCCTGAAGTGGTCCTGATGACAATGTCTTCGTCTATTTTACTGATCATGGTGCTGTCGGTAAGTTCTATTACTCTTATTCTGATATTAGATAATTCCGATGTTCTATCATACAGGTCTTGTTGCTTTTCCACACGGCGTCGTAGGTTTAAATATATGCACAAAAATCGTTTTCATTTTTCTCTTTCAGCTTTATGCCAAAGATCTCAATACAACAATCACAGCAATGTACAATCAAAAGAAATACAAACAAGTGAGACTATTAGAAAAGTACTTTTGACTTGGTTTTTTTCGTGCGTATAGATGGTGGTCTATATCGAAGCTTGTGAATCTGGCTCGATGCTCGAGGATATTCTTTCTGACAAGATTAACGTTTATGGAACAACAGCAGCGAACGCTCAAGAATCCTCCTATGCTTGTTATCATGATATTGTGCGTGGTACTTACTTAGGTGATGTGTATTCAGTCGTTTGGATGGAAGATTCCGATGTTGAACAACTCGATAGGGAAACTCTATTTCAGCAATATACGATAACACAACAGAAAACAAATACGAGTCATGTTATGCAATACGGAGATTTAGTAAACTCAAACTCGCAATGCTTCTCTCCAGAAGAAACAAATCTTTTGTTTAGAATTTAGGCAAATCGCATAATGTTAGTGAATTTCAAGGTACACATCCATCTAATCAATCGAAATATTCCTACAAAGATTCCTTTCGAGTGAGTGTGGATGATTTACAGTGAAGGTTAAGTTTCAAAGTATGTAGCGTGACGCCGTACCTTCGGAACTTGTTCGAATGGAAATTATTAAACATCGCTTAGCAATGCTCGAAGAAAACTCAATGGAAAAAAGACGATTAGAACTCGAACTCACTCAACTGTACACTGTTTGTTTAATTTTGATTTCTTATCCAACAAGAGGTGCGATTCTTGTTCAAATTTAGGTTCGAAATCGCATTTCAAATCGTTTCAATCAAATCGCTTCCCTAGCTCTATCAATAAACCGTGCTCAACATTTCGAAGCGGTCACTACACAACCTATGAAATTAACTCGACATGATTGTTATATCTCCGTCACACAAAATCTTCACAAAAAATGCTTTGATCTTCAGGTTTGTCTTTTCTGTTTTATCGGTTTCACTACTCTTTATCTCGTTTAGCATGAATTTGTGCTCAATAAACTTTACATCATGGCTAATCTATGTGAAATCGGTTTCATGGACATGACAATCCATCAAGCGATTGAACAGGCGTGTGAAAAGAGAATTCATTTAACATATTAATCAAACGAACCATTCGAAAATAAAGTCATCTTTGAGAACTCAGAGTACAGTCTTGTACTCTTTGTTGGCACTCTCAGCTACTTGATACATAAACTACAAAGAAATGATCGACGATCAGATATGTATGAGAATATACGAGTATGAACAGGGGCCGAGAAAACATATTCATACTCACATTTTGAAAAGCACCTTCAACACGAATAACGCTTCTCACTTACTTGCTATGCTCCAAGTCAAATAGTAGAATGCAGAGGCAGCATTTCTTCCCGTTTTTCTTGAATACACATTGAGAAAGTAGCTATTTTCGAGTATAATGTTTCTTTCAAACAAAGGCGCTCACAAACACTTATATTTCTGAAGCTTGATCGAAAGAAATATCCTTCTGCTCTTCGGCTTTGACACACTACAGCGATGTCCAGTTTAGCCAATATTCTTGGTTATACTCTATTTTTGACCAATCGCATCGTTGGTCAAATACAGATGACATCGAGAATCATTGAAAACATATTAAATCTTATTATCGTTAGGCGTCCAACATCACGACAAAGTCCGTGCTTGTACTACTCACAAACTATCTTGGATGTAGTTCAATTCTAAGTTTATGGAATACCGATGCGACGCTGCGTAATTTACGAATGCATTTTATATTTTCATCGGTATGTCTGATCCTATAGTTGATAGTTATAACAAATCTTGATCGTTTCCTTTCAACTTCGTAGAATGTTCGATTACGTTGAGTGAGCAATAAAACAGTGACCAAACAGTTCATTTTCTTAATGCATTTCCATATCGTGGCTATTATGCAAACTGATGAATCCACATGCACATTCGCCTCTTTTGCATATACATGTTTCTTCGTTTTCTACTTTGATTTTGTATCATTTTCATTTCCTGTCATACGAATGCTTATTTTTTATGCACTGATGATTAGCACTATTCATCATAGTCGGAATCGGATTTATCCAGTTGGTGACTGTCGCATGCGCCAATGTTTACGAGCAAACGAATATCAACTGTGTCTGATGTTTGCAATTCAGGTCATTATGGCAACTATCATATCAGTATCATATTCAATGATAATTATTTATCATTTCGCAATGGTAAGGATTTATAAATACGTAATATCGTCTAATGCATTAAATATACTTTATTATGTACGTGAACTATGTGCCATTTTATAGTATATGAACGCCATTATCGGCTTTTACACTTGCACAATCGTCAGTCGGAAGTGTTGTGAGGGGTTAAAAAAATATTCAAAAAGAATTTTCTCTTATTTTAACCTAATTCCATTCAATCAATTATTTTCTATTGGATATACCACGACTGGTAATCAACAGAATCGAATTTCATTCGTTGTTGTACATTTTGATTGTCTAGTTTATTTAGAATAGAATTTTGCTGTAAAAATAGCTTTTTTGTTTTACTTGCTAAACATTTATTTAGTTAATCTGATCAACAGTTGTAAACTGTTGAAAGTTAGTTTTTTTTCGACACAGTGTCTCCACTCATATGCACAAAACAGGTTGATGACAATTCCTGATGTTGCCATCTGAGTGATTGAGCTTTCAAAGAAATAAAGAATATGGACACTAGTTTGTCCTCAACAAAAGCTTTACGAAGGTGCTATTGCATTCAGTCGGGAGCAGCAAAATATTTCATCTTTCACTCGTTCACGAAATCGATTCGATGTCACCAAGAATGTATAACAACTTCCCTATAAAAATAAATAAACCAACCTAATAGAAGTAAAAGTCAGTCAACATACTACATAGTACAGATATGTTCCCAAAGTAACAATTGTAGTGGCAAAATATTCCTTCGACTGACGATCCGAGTCTTTAACTATGCCACTTGTGATTAAAGTGTATGCTCTGTTGACACCATATGGTAGCAAACTAACGATAACAAGCACGACATGAATGAAAGTCATTTTAATCAACTGACGATCGTATTGTAACTCCGCAGGACGTATTGTTAGACGAATGTTCCGATAGGTCAAAAAACCAAACAAAGTCATGATACCAACTGGTATTCCACAAATGATACCGAGCAAGTATATAGGCGAATAAATAGCCAGAACAGGGTTATCACTTCCACAGGTTCTTGTTGTAGATAAGATGCGATAGAGAAAGAAAATATGAACACCATAGAGACACCAGAAGATGACCACGAAGAGTGAAATCCAATGAGCCCATTTGATTTGACTACAACTTCGAAGTTGGACATTTCTTGATGTGATTAGAAACTGATCGATGATGGCTAAGCATGAGAAAGTCACAGAGATAAGAGCAGGAACAAAGAGAAAAAACTGTCGTATTTTACACCACACGTCAGATGCTCTGTATATATCAATTTTATAAGTGTCACTTAAGATACGAATGGTAAGATTGAGTAAGACGTAGAACATGTTATCGATTGAACCCATGAGAAAATAGAAGGTACAAGGATTTGTTCGATAAGTGCGAACTTTGGAAAAGACGAGAATATTGATACCATTTCCAATTAGACAGGCGATGAAGAGACAAATACCAAGATAAAATGCCAGTTGTTGAGCATCGTCTACGAGCGTCATAATAAGCGTCTTTACTTTGAATCGTATAGTGGTATTTCTGGAAGTAACGATGATGAAGCGAATGAAGATGAGTAGATAGTATTTGTGAGAATTCGTGCTATTTTAAAGTTATCTTAACAGATGGGAACGAGATGACAGAAAGAAGTAGACGATCAAATAAATATGCAACGATACACTCAGTTCTTTTCTATAATTGAACTTAGCATAATAAGTCCGCAAATGTGGCACACTATACACGTCATTGTAATCGAGATAGTTCAACGCCTTGATGTAAATATAAAGAGATACATTACACACATCGCTTCTATCGGAAAATGTGTTTGACAGATTGTTTAAAAGAACTCTCTATACATATTTGCAAAAGATCGTCACTGAATGCATTAGTCTTAATTATAAATCTTAACTATAACCAATACCAGTTCTTAAAAAAGTCACATAGTAATTGATAATTGAATAAAACGGAAATTGCTAAAGTTGGTAGTTATCTTATCAACATGAAAGTTTGTGATAATCTACAAGATTTTCTTTTACGGTTTCAAAAACTTCCTGATACGTCTTTAGCTATTATCTATGGTTCTACGGAAAACTTTTGTGAATAATTTATTTGAGTAACAGGCGTGATTAGAGAAAGTAATTAAATAAAAAAGAAATTTTATGAATTCGAATAAGTCGACGTTTCGACAAGTAAATTGTCATATTCGAGACAGGTGCTATTGAAGCGATAGAGGAAAAACGTGTCTATATATGTCGCATCGAAGTTTTAACTTGTAAAACTTTTTTTCTATCGAAGTTACAACTTCGATACGACATATACAGACATGTTTTTCTTCTGCCTCTCCAATAACACTTGTCTTGAAAATGACAATTTACTTGTCAAAACATTGACTTATTTAAATTAATAAAATTTCTTTCTCGTTCTCAAGCTGTTGTTATTCTCTCTTATAAACTTTAGTGAGATATAAGCTCTAGAAGACTTGTCCTCTTTATTTTTGTAATAACTTTTTTAAAGAGTCTCAGATGAGGAGATTCTCTCCCGGGAATTGCAACATTTATTCTGTTGAACACTCTGAAATGAACGTACATTCGATCCTCCATGCTCTATATAAAAGGATTTTGTTTCTCGGAATGAAGTGATCATAGTACTATCATTTCGTGCAAGTAATATCCGGACGTTTCATACCATGTTTGAACGATTGTAAAGGAAATGGATGCTTTTACAATGAGAACAAATAAACTAGGATATCATGTCGTGCTTTTTCGCTCGCTGCTAGATAATTGTCATTCCGAACATCCTGATCATGCAATTCAATCTTTTTCTTCACACTTCGAAATCAACTTTTGAATTTTGTGCATCCGTAAAACAAAATGCTTTTTCCTTTACTACTTGAAACTACACGGAACGGTTTCTGCACAAAAAAGCCGAATATATGTAAGAAATTAAACATAATAGTAGCAAAATCTTAATTGTATACGATTATTATCAGATATTCTGAAGCTTTATTTCTCATCCATTTCTTTCTTTTAATTAATTTATTGCATTGAGAAAAAAAGAAAAAAAATGTCACCGAGTGTTTCTACATGTTTGTACTGAGAGAAAATTAGTAACTATCTTCATATGTACTGTGTCGTTTACCTGACGAATATAATCACCATATGCATCTTTTCTGCGTTACTACTGTAACTCAATATTGCACAAGAAAATGATTTTGCGTCTCAATAACAAAACAAAATATGACGTTTTCTCAATATATAAGGAGACAGCATGTTCATATTCAACATATAGTGATTGAAATATGACAAAGTCGAAATCAGTCTCTACATGCAAGTCACGAAATATCATGACGAATTCTCGTGTGAAAGCATCCAATTTAACAAATAGGAAACAATTATTCAAAAGGCAAAAACCTATCAGGAGAAGTATTAGATGCAAATGTCAGCCGTCCTCGTTACCGGAAGAAAACCAATGTGAAGATGTGAGTCTAGTTATCTGTTTGAACAGTAAGCCGGACGAAAACATCATAATTAAACTGCAATGTATCATGGACAATGTCCACATATTCGCCGATGATAGCCAATGCATTCATTTTCTTAATACCAGTGTTACTCAAGGCAAAGTATACGTGATTGTGTCAGAATCATTTGGAGAACAAGTTGTGTCTTGCATACATGATCAATCTGTTGTGGATACTATTCTGATCTTTCAAGATAGTAACCGCCGACGGTCTCTACGATGGATAAACAAATGGTCGAAAATTCAAGGTGTGTTTAATGAACTTTCAACTATGTGTGCTACTCTTAAGAAAATTACACGACAAGATGATATTTCGATTAGTACTTTTTCGACTACTGTTTATGATCCTACAACAAAGATTTGGAATCGCGAAGAACCATCTATGGTATATACTCAGATACTTAAAGAAACATTACTATCAATTGATTTTCAAGAAGAACATAAAGAAGATTCTATGAAATGCTGCACTGAGATATTTTCCGATAATAAATTTGAATGGAACTATCGGAGCAAAACACCCATCTGGTGGTATTTGTGGAATAGTTTCCCGTATCGTTTATTGAACAGCGGATTACGAGAAATGAATATCGATCTTATCATTCGTATGGGATTTTTCATTAATGATCTCCATCAACATATTCAACAGCTGTATTCGGAACAATTCGGTGAGGGAAAATGTATTGAAAGTTTCACCGTTTATCATGGACGAAAATTATCGAAAGCAGATTTTGATCGAATAACAAAAAATAAGAATGACCTCATTTCATTTAATAGTTTTTTATCTACCAGCAAAGATTATCAATTTACACTTCGCCTTGCTCAAAATTTTATCACCGATTCGAATTTCGTTGCAGTCTTTTTTGTTGTGACCATCAATCCCAATCAACCGACAACGCCGTTTGCATCAACTGCCGAGATCAGTGAAAATCAAGACGAAGATGAAATTCTCTTCTCTATAAATCCGGTTTTTCGCGTCGAGGAAGTAAAGTTACTCGATCGACATAAGCGACTGTATCAAATCAATGTAACACTCGCTGCTCATGATGATTCCGCTTTTTGTCAACTTACACATCATATCACACGAGAAACATGTGCAGATCATAATCCATGGCATCGACTAGGTTCACTGTTAATCACTTTGGGTGAATATTACAATGCAGAAAAAATTTATCAGAATTTATTGAATTCAGTGATTGATGATCGTGAAAAGGGGTACGTTTCAAACGCACGTGGTTGGCTAAGATACAATCAAGGAAAATACAAAGAAGCCTTGAAATTATACAAAGCATCGTTGGTTCTCTATAAGAAAGTTCTCCCTTCCGATCATCGTGATTTAGCAATCGTTTACAATAACATGGGAATCGTGTGTAATCTATTAGAAGACTATTCAACAGCACTATTTGCTCATAAGACAGCCTTGAAAATACGACAGCTATTATATGAATCCAACTATCCAGCTTTGTATATGTCATACAGTAATCTAGGTGATTTGTATCAGAACATGGGTGATCATACCGAATCACTTATGTATTTCGAGAAAGGTCTCGAAATTATTCGGAAAATTCTTCCTGACAATGATCCTGATATTGCTGCATTACTCGTGAATATTGGTAAGATATATTACGAGTTGGATAATTACGAAAAAGCTCTCTTGTTTCAAAAGAGCGCCCTTAAAATTTGGCGACAATCCCCTTTGTTTCATCCGTACAGTTTAGCTGCCTGCTACGGTCATATCGGCTTGATATATAAAGCAATGAACAATCCAAGACAAGCATTGTTAGCTTACAACAAATCTTTGAGCATTGTTAAGCGTATAAATTCATCGAATCATACCATGTTAGCTGATCTGAATTATAACGCGGGTTTGCTTTATTATCGTATGGGTAAATACCCAAAGGCATATACACTTTTTCAAAATGCTGTCAACATTGGGCGCCAATCATTGTCAGCGAAGCATTCATATCTTCGCGATTATAGAAAATATCTCAAACTTGCCAAGCGTCATTTGTAATTCAATACAAGAGAAAATAAATTACACGTTTTTATATATAAAATTCATGTGACTCGCGATTTTTAGAAATGATCAATAGTGCAGATGTGAACTGTATCGTATTCGTCTCATCCCATACCTTCGAAAGTAGACTTCATACAAAGACAGTTAAGTTGAACACATTCGAGAGAACAGAAAAGAATGAAATGACAGCAAAACACAGTTGGCTTTTCCGGATGAGTCAAACCAGTGTTCTCTTCGCTACACAATTCTCTAACAGAATTAGACAGACCAAACTCCTTTGCACATGCCGTATCATCCATCATTCATGGAAATTTTTCCAAATGAATTATTTTTGGGATATTTTCAGCTATTTACAACCCGAGCATCTTTTCAAAGTGTTTAGTGATCTGAACTCCCGTTTTTGTATTCTTATGCGATCTACTTTTCTTCGATTTCATACCGCCGATGATAATATTACATTATCAACAATCATAAAAGCAGACCAATTAAAAAACATTCGACTGACCGATATCAAAAACTTTACCGCTGTGATGCATTAATTCAAACCAAATAATTTTACTCTACTTGAAAAGCTTGATTTTTCTTGCCGTATACATGAACACTTCGCAGCTGTTTTTGAAATCCTACCTCACTTCAATCGTCACAAGCATCTTCGTGTTGATTGCAGATGTGTCGGAAAAGACAACGCACATGAACATTTTTATGAAATGCTCGCTGAATCATTCTTCACTTCGCCGCACTTAACTAAATTAACGTCACTGGAAGTTATTATACCATCTATATGAATGCCAGATATCGAAACCATGAAAATGGCCTCTCTGTATTGTATATGACGACGACAATGTTCTTCATGATCAGCTGCGACATGCAAAACACTGATACAAATGCCTGTTATTCGTTCTTTGCATACACTTGATATTGGCATTTGCCATGGCATCGTATGTCAGGTATATTTCTTGAAGCACATGCAATTACTACTATCAAAATTACCGGAAGTTCGTCGACTGAATTGTTCTCTGTCTGGAATGAACCGACATTCGGTATTGATCAACGGATAGCGATGACTTTACGAAGTAAAATTGATTCGCTGTGTCTCACTTTCCATATATGCAGACACACGATTTCCGAATATGTATTATCAGACTTGCAAGCACCAGTGTCACTCAAACATCCACAACTATCTATTTAGAAGCAGGTTGTTTTAACAAATTGAGAATATCTTTGTTGGAAGAACTCGAAGATCAGTCGACAAATGGACAACAGAGGAAAAACAACGAACGATTTAATCCAAATTTGATTTTTGGAATATACGTTGGATATTCGAGAATACGGACGCTGACAATTCAGTCGTAAATGTTGCAAAGAATATAAACAACAATATCCGATCAGATGAAACTTTTATTTTAACTACGTTGGCTTTCTATAACACCGGAAAGTCATAATAAATGAGCTGAAAAAGAATATAGCACAATATTTGTGTAAATACCGATAGTATGATGCCAATTGAGAACACTTATTGAATCTTATTAACCGAAGTTGAAAATATGACTACAAAATAGCTCTCACTGGAAAACAAAGTTGCTTGTACCGAGACAAGATGTATGCAATGATTTTCTTGACTGCAATTTTCTGCTGCTGCATTTCAACGTGTTCAATTTCTCCGATTGTAATTCATGTAGCAGTATTGTGAGAATACTGTATGCAGCCACTATTACCGGTTGTTGGAGACCATATCGAAGAATCCTTATGTAATGGGGCAATAGTTACATTATTGACTTGTACAGGTACTGAAAAGGTCGCTTGTCACAAACTGACCATCTAACAACGATTCACGCCTATTTTCAACATTCAGCCTTGGATATATTGACGAAATAGATAATCTCCAATCGTTTAAATCTGAAATACATATGTAAAAACCATTAATGATTCATAAGTAGTTCAAGTGATTATAGGACGGACCGTAGTTTTGTGTTTTCAATTCGAAAAAAGACATATTTTCACTTTTTTTCACCAATACATACATATAGATGTAAAAAATAGAGTGTGTTCTTTTGTAATTTCTGCAGATGATATTGCGTCCCAGACACGGTATACCTAAGAAATACGCAGTAACATATATTTCTTCACTTTACTCAAACACAGGGAAAAATCTCGTACTTCTCTACACGTATTAGTATTTTCTTCGATTTCTACAACATAACCCGTCACCGAAGTACCGTTTTTGAATGGTTTCCATTCTATACTAAGTTCAGTAGCACCTACTTTACACTTACGTTGAATAAATGAAGGTGCAACTATTGAAGGAAACACATGCAATAGAAATCATAAGCTGAAATATGTATCAATATGACTCACTGTTATAGGCGACATCTCTCTCTCTCTCTCTCTCTGCCTAGATCAATTGTTATACCTTCTATCTCCCTAGATCTTTTGTATTAGTGATATCTTCTTTTGTTCCTGTGATATCTATTCACTTTTCTTTGTACGCTGGCATATAAATATGTACGTGTGATAGTGTGAAGAGAGAGCATCGAGAGGAGTGTTTTTCCACGCGTGTAACTTTACATTTTCACAATAAACTAAGAAGTTCCGATAACACAAATCTTCTTGTCTCTAATATTTGGTGCCGTGACCGGTCTTTTTATTATGCAACCATAATAAAAATCGCACCGGATCCTTCTATCACATCGAACATCACCATAACACAAACTTTCGGTGAATTAACTTCATCAACCGAACGATAGTGTCCATCCGAATCATACTATTACCATTACCACGGCGTACAGTCTCCGCAGTACAAACCCCACCCCAGAATACAACGGTGATCTATTAACAAGCACATCGGAACACATATTCAAGAAAACCATAATAGAATCACGAACAATTGTTATGACCTCTCCAAACACACACGATCCAGCCATGATGATATGCTACCGAGAATGTTTATCTAACCTGATGAAATTCACGGGTGGCGATGACGAAAAAATCATACAATTCGTCAACAACATTGAACGCATCGGAAAAATGATTGATGCCGGTGATAATATTTTGTACTGCATGAGTACGGCAAAGCTCGATGGAGAAGCCAAACGTTGGTACGAGAACAATTCATCCTTGAATACGTGGGATACACTGAAAACAGCTCTGTTGGAACGATTTACAATACCTGACTCATCGACGAGAGTATTCGAACAATTGAAAGAACGTAAACAACGATCCAATGAATCTATTACATCTTTCTATGACTCGATCATCAAGTTATGTCATGATTACGATCCAAAGATGTCGGAGAAGATGATCGTGTCCTGGCTCGAAAACGGCGTAAAAGATTCATTGAAAGTTCCGATCAAGCGACAGATGAAACTATTAGCCGAAACCGCTCGTACCACAAAAGCATTCTTGANAGTATTCGAACAATTGAAAGAACGTAAACAACGATCCAATGAATCTATTACATCTTTCTATGACTCGATCATCAAGTTATGTCATGATTACGATCCAAAGATGTCGGAGAAGATGATCGTGTCCTGGCTCGAAAACGGCGTAAAAGATTCATTGAAAGTTCCGATCAAGCGACAGATGAAACTATTAGCCGAAACCGCTCGTACCACAAAAGCATTCTTGAAAATTGCAAAGGATGAACAAGAATTACAAGAGGAACATTCGTTAGTTCCTGATGTCACGTCATCGTATGTGCCGTATTTCAGCAATACAGTGTCAACAACGATACCACAGCCGCGAACCACCCAACAAGCCTTCGAATCACCGCACTCACATGAACAGCAAGATGAATCAAATATATCGCGCCATCGACAACCGAACTCTTACAAGCCCACGCAGCGATTTTGTCGAGCTTCGCCCAATACTCGAGCCGTCACGTTACATCAACGGAATCTATCGACAAAAGATCCCAAGAATAAACCAACTGCACTAATGGCAATACCTGGTCGCCAATTAAGTCCCTGCTTGATTTGCAAACGCAACAATCATCGAACGATCGACTGCTACCACAAGAAATCGGATGGATGTTACAAGTGCGGACAATCGGATCATCGCATCCGAAACTGTCCGGCGGTTTTCTACTAACTGGAACCCGTGATGGTGGTGATTCCAGTAACATACAACAATATCCATCAACCACCAACCATACCACAACACGTACAGCAGGTCCCATTTACATCAACGTACAAGTCAACAACAAACGACAACACGCCATTATCGATACCGGATCTGCAATCACCATTATTGATCAGAAACTATTGAAAACCATTCACCACAAGAAATTCGTTCACAAACAAAAATTACACAAATCAGCAAACTGTACCGCGATTGACATCATTGGCGAAATCGAACTTGAAGTAAAAGTACAAGGATACAGGACGACAATCGTAGCAGATGTAGCAACGAACCTTGTAACGGATCTTCTATTGGGAAACGACTGGATCCAAGCGAACAACACCATCATTAATTGCCCAGACAAACAGATCACTCTTAGCGATCACCATCGGCGAATAGTTGCAACAGCACCGTTCATTGAACTATCGGAGACAGAAATACCGATATTTTTGATCAACGATGTGAGCCTTCCACCATATTCGGAAACGTGCGTCAACGTTCAAGCCCGATCACGAACGGAACCGATAGCTGAAGTACTATTCGAGCCAATCCAACAATTACATTCCAAGCA